TTTTAATTCAGCTTCGAAAGCATTTTATTCTCCTCTTCTTGATGTATTTATTCATAAAATTTAATTTAAAGTTAATACATAAGGGAAGAAACATTATTGCAACAAAGTTTATATGTAATTTTATATGTTTTTGCTATAAGTTTATACTGTATATAAAAAATTTAGATAACAAATCAGGTGATTGTTATTTTGAAATATTGCAAAAAACTTGATATAAACAAAAAATAAGATACATTATAACTTATACTAAAGGCTAAAAATTATATATAAATAACTATAAAATATTTGTATATCTCTTTTTACTTTGTTTAATTCTTTTTATTAAATCTATATTTTCATTTAAAAGTATAAAATTTTAAAAACTCTATATAGTCTCTGTTTACTCTGAACTTAATTAACCTTAAATCTATCTTCTTTACTAACTATGATGCTAGCGGCTTTAAATCTTCAATCATATAATTTTTTCTACTTTTGACAAAAAATCATATGATGTATTTATATTCAATCAAATTCGAGCAGTTTAGTTTTTTTTTTTTTAAAAAAAAATAGGCACATAATATTTTTTTTTTACTTATTTATATAGTGAATGGATATAATTACAATACCTTTGCCTTCGGTGTAAGTATCGCATAGAGGTTGGAACCGGTTTTAATAATTCGGGTTTATCACATAAATTTTGTGATATTTTAGAATTTATTAAAATTTAATTGGGCTAAATTCTAAAATATCACAAAATTCACGTGATAAACTCGAATTATTAAAACCGGTTCCAACCTCTAGTATCGTATATAGCCTATATAGTACAACAAGTAATCAATTTTTAAAGCATATTCTCTGTGATATTTTTTTCCTTTTATGATATACTGTGACAGATGATATTTTTTTTTAAAAGCACTTTTTTTTTTCTGACGGATAAATATTTTTTTTTAAAAAAAAATTAGTTTAATTAGTAATATACTATACCTGTTGTAAGGCAGGTTCAAAAACTCTCAAATGCTGCTAAACAGTTAAATTTATTGATTTAAAATGTTATATAGGTCTCTATTAATCTCTTCTTGCATGATTTGATAATTGTTTCTACTTAGTTGTCTACCTGAAGTTACCTATATGATTTAAACTGTTTTATGGCCTTCTCTGCATCTTCTCTTTCTAAACCTGTTGTATATGCTTCAATATATCTCCAAGCCTTCCAGCTAAATTGTCTAACTATAACTAATAGTATATTGTTATCTATTTCTGATACACAAAGTTGTAGCTGAGCATAAGAATAATTACATTGCTGACAAATGATTTATTTAGCAGCACTTCAAAAATGTTTGATGAAGATGTATTTGCAGTGAAATTTTGGATATAATTCAAAAATATGCCTAGTAGCTTTAACAGTCTTTGCAATTGAAGTCTTTTGTTCCAAAAAATCTAATTCTATTGTAAGTATATATTTTGCGCAACAATTCAGAACTAAAAAAAAAATTTATATTGATTATTAACTTTATAATACAAAATTTTTTCTTTTATCCTTTTCGTCATCCTCCTTTCTTTTACAATCTAATCTCTGATCTGTCCACATTCTCTATTCTTTTAAAATCTAAAATACATAGTAAAGAAAAAAGTAATAAAAAAAAAAAAGAAAAAAAAAGGTAATAGTCTTTATATATTTTTTTAATCACCTTAAACTTTATGATATTATCCATCATCTTCATTCAAAAAAAATATAGTTTTGTAATTTTTCATAATTATGAATGAACTAACCATTCTTAAACTTAAATTTATCTTCAACTTTGGATGCATAGTTATTCTGGAATACACAAATGCATCAAGTGTATATGCATTATAGTTAGTATTTTGATCAAAGCAGAATACACCTTCAAAAAAAAAAAAACTAAAAAGGATAAATAAAAAAATAATAATAATAATTAAAAAACAATAGACAAATTTAAAACTATGCCTATGCATCCTGAGTGGAAGCATTAAAAATCAGAATTGCTTTTTCACAAAGCTGTTTAACTATATTTTCACTTTTTCAATAACTATCAGCTTGTTGTTCTGGCTTTATAATAACCCAGACCTCTCAGTTGAACTCAAGTCATATAGTATCAGCCTCTGTAAAGCACAAAGAGCCATAGTATACACACAAGAAATTACTAACCATAATTGCTGACCTTTGGCCTTTTTTCTTAATAATGGACTCTTTATCTTCAATCCAAAAGAATGAATTGTCATTATTAGTATAAAAGTAAGCTTTATTATGGGTAACCAAAACATCGTGCATATTCCAAATTTCAAGCCATTCTGGAGGTATAACATTTTCTATCTCATTACTATTATATTGTTCCTTTTTTTTTAATAATTCATCATTCTCATCATCCATTCTTTATGATATTCTTGCATGTTTTTCTATTTATAATTATCGAAATAAACCTAAAAAGTATTAAGCAATTTAAAAAAAAAATAAAAAAATAATAATAGGCTATACAAATTTAATTATTTGGCTTTCATAATATAAAACTTTTAAATAAACCTGATTGGCCAGATTTTTTTTTTTTTTATACAAAAATTTTAAAATCTGTTTGGTTATTAAAAAATTTTAGCCGAGCCTAGTTATAAAAAACTATTAATTAATTTCATATGACCTTACATATTTGTTGGCCTATAGTTTTTTTGTGAAAATGCTATAAGTGCATGAATTTTTATATAGTGGTTTTTGAAATAGTGATCAGTATTTTAAGCAATTTAGGAAAGATATTTGTTTCTAATTCTTTTTTAATGCTAATAAAGAATGATCTTTTGGTAAAATAGAACATAACCAGGTATAAGCCACCAGTTTGAGATCCTCATCATTAAGCAATACTTCTCTTTTTGCATATTTTCTTTGTTGATGTTTATATAAGATACCTTGTTCAAGAAAGTTTTTTGCCTATCCTCTAATACAATGAGATATATATTCTGTATTCTGAATATCTTTCTATAAAGTATTTGCAATTTTTTCTGATGCACTTATTTTTTTTTTACTGTCTAGTAAGGGGCATGCCATTTATTATGTAATTTTTACCATGGATACATGGTCCAGCTGAGTGATCACGTTACACATATATATAATATATAATATATAATCAAA